CGCTGGAGGCTCTCTCTTCGCAAATAGACTTTTACAAGGTAGTACAAATTCACGAAGGCTTGACATGAATATCGCAGAATGACTTCTGTAACCAGATCCATACCTATACGTGCCACTAAAGTGCAAATCTCTGCGTGAATATGCATCGTATTACAAAGGAATACTCTTATCTGTCATCAAAGAGACGTGCCAAAAAGCTCAGGTAAGAATATGCCGTAGCCTGACCCTCCGTCTGGGAAGGATCGCGTTATCCCATCTATTAATGATACTCTTATCCATTAATTTCAACGCCCTATATTAATTTAAAAGCCTGCGAATGTCTTACGGTGGAGAATAAAATTTATAGGTTCGAGTTTGATCAGCCTCACTCACCCATCGCTCTCTTCCTCTTCTCGTGCATTAGAAACAAGCCTAGTGGAAGCCCCCTAAATGTGAAATTAAAGTTATTGAGTAGACAGGCCTGCAACCTCATCTAAATTTTGTCCAGTCTTGGTCTCTTCTCATTTTAACTATAACTTTTTTTCGTCTTCAGGCTTTCCCAGCATGGATTTATTTACTCTGCTAATGACGGGGAAAAACAAATGACAATGGCGATTGGTGATGACCATCCAAACTCTGGTCGAAACTCCCCGCATGAGTATGCAGACATCTACAATCCTGGTGAACACCTCAATGACGAGGACCGAAGTAGTGTGGATTATCTTACGCCCTGTTACCGTCCCGGGCAAACGGCGGACGCGGAATCTCCTTTCACCTCCGCCCCAGAGGAGCCTAGGGGAGGCAACGCAGCAAATGAATACACCCTGGTTGTTTCTGATGATACTGCAAGCTGACGTTGTTGAGACCTATCACGTATCATTTTTCGTCTCATATATTCAGCCGTATTGCCATGACCTCAAATGAAGTATCTAAAATAAGGGTAGTTTCTATTGTTACAATTTACAAATATAAATTAATTGGAGACCTGTGACGGTATGTATCTTTATTTGTCTGGAATTCCAAATTGTGCAGCTTCCGAGTGGGAAGGGAAAAACGTAGACTGTAGTATTGAGTAGCTTGTATTCCGCAAAGAAGGAGCACAAGATAAGTTCTTGAAACTGGTTGGTGGCTGGATGCAAGACGAGCCCGCGGCACAAGCTGTAACAGTCCTCCAAGTGTCTTGAGTGGGGGGCATGATCACACAAGTCTTGTGATTAACTGGCTTTTTAACATCACCGTAGGTGGCAGGACACCAGGTAGAGCCTCACGATTTCATAGATTGACTGGGCACTATAAAAATACCATAGAAAGCAGCACAATATTCGACTAATTCTAGCTGAGGCATGTGGCAGAAGGGAACGCAAGGTTACAGCGGATTCGGGCCCCCATCATCATCCTCGCGTCCGGAGAACAGAATTGAAACCTGTGAATAGCCACAATAGGGTCGCACATTCATGCCACCTGTGTTCCTGATAAAAAAATCGTTCGGTCAGAAATAGACAGCTGGTCGTTTCTGGTAGCCAATAAATTACGGGAATAGTCTGCAGGCCATCCTTTTAGTTAACACTATTTTCACTCAGAACGGGGAGACAAGTGATGGAGGGCAAATCGTTGGACACGGGAATAAGTCTTCGCTCCATTTTAGAGGCGGCTATGTGCTAAAATTCAGGGACACGTACTTATTCTCGGGGCCTAGCCCGATATCTAACAAAAACCTTCACAACATCCCTCCTGAAATATAGCGCTAGCAAGCCTGCAATAAAAAGGTTGCCTATCTTCATGACATGTCTGTCTGTTCCTGTCATTCTGAGATTTGACGGTAATTAAGCTAGCATGAAGTGCACGCTGCGGATAAAGGTGAGGAAGAGAGAAATACACTTTATGTTGAAAGTAGCATCCACATTTATAGCAAAAAAATAGTTCATTCACTGAGACCAGGGGATAAACTAATAAGACGTTCAACAAATCTAGAGGTTAATAAGAAATCCACATCTGTTA